GGGGAAAACCTGCTCGCGGGGGCAGCAGGGCTTGCCAGGAGAGAATCAGCTGACGGGGGGGAAGAATCGGCCAGCGGGGAGCGGGACAGTTCAGGGCGCACGCAGATCCTAAATAAAAATGTAAAAGCAGTGCCTTTTAAATATCCCCACTGCTGACAGTGAGGTTTAAAGGCACTACAGTTGTGTCAGAATGGAGAGAACCTGATGCATTCACCATCCGGAATGAGAATATGGATTAAAAAATTCCAAAGATGGTGTCAGCTTTCTGAAAATAAATGAGCCCCTTTTCAATACATGATGTGGTGGTGCAGGGTTTTATTGGATTGCAGTCCATTTTTCCAATCCATATTCCCTTAACTGTAAGAGTATTGTGGGTGGCCGTATCTAAAGCTGGCTCTGGGGGCTTTGGGAGGACCAAAACCACTGTATTTGCATATTCGTAATTTGCTTATTGAATATGCAAATGAATGTTACCGGTCGTCCAAAAGCTCGTGAATGATTTACTGGTCCCCGTGTCAAAAAGTGTGGGAACCCCTGGCCTTGAGAGATGCAGTCTGAAAAGGGATCTGGTATTAGTCTTCAGTTATATTAAGGGCTGTTGTAAAGAGGACGGCGGTCACTTAGTCTCCAGAGACAAGGTGGGATATATAGTATATTTTATTGGACCAGCTTCTCTTGGTGAAAGAGAGAAACTCCCCGCCTTGAGAAGAGCTCTGTACAAGCAAGAAAACTTGTATATTTCACCAAAGGAAGTTGGCTCAATAAAAGGTATTACCTCACCCACCTCATGTTTCTACTATTCTGTGACCAACAACACTGCAAACAATAATTCTCTGAGTCTGTTGAAGGTAGAACAAGAAGTTATGGGCTTAATCTGCAGCGAGGGAGATCTAGGCTAGATATTTAGAGAAACTTTCCAATTCTAAGGATAGCTAAGCACTGAAATAAGCTTCCAAGGGAGGTTGTGGAATCCCCATCAGAGGATTTTAAGAGTAGATTGGAGAAACACAGGCCTAGGTTTACTTGGTCCTGTCTCAACCCAGGGAACTGGACTAGGCAGCCTCCCAAGGTCCCTTGCATCCCTACATTTCCATGATTCTAGGATGGGCTTCTCTACCTTTTGTGACAGTCTTAAGGCCCAGTCCTACAATGTTTCTGCATGAGAAGCTCACATTAATATGTTCTTTCCCAAATGTATGTTATTACAGATTCAAACCTGGCTTGAATGTAAATAGGTTGTGAGTATTTTCTTTCCCAAATGTATGTTATTACAGATTCAAACTTGGCTTGAATGTAAATAGGTTGTGTGTATTATAAATGAGATTTTGTTTGTTTCTTTTGCTTTAATAGGAGGCGAGGGTTGTAAGATTTCTCCCGAGTCTAATGAATAGAGTTCCTTTTTATTTTCATGCATATTGTGGACCAGGCTGTATTGTTCTTAATCTCATTAATCTCCACAAAAAGTCTAATGACTTCAATGTGATTACTCATGGAGCTCAAGTGCTACTCAGTATGATATCAGAATTTGGCCTATACGAATGCATTAAAGAACACTCAATATTTGTATACCCAGTGTCCCCGGTTGTGTGTTTGGTGCTTTTCATTTCTTCAAACAGTCGAATTTCACAGCCAGGGAATTCCAACAGGTCATGATCGAGATCTCTCTCCATAGCCTCAAGTGTGTGCCACAGATCTCTAAACTTCGAGATCCATAAGTCTGAGCATTGTAATTCAATGAGCTGCATTTCGAAATCCTCAACACCCATTCACTGAAACACTGTCAAATCTATGTCATTGGTATCAAAATTGTCTGGAAAGGAAAACATTGTGCCAAAACGTTGGAAATCTTGAAATCTAGCATAAAGTTCCGACGCAAGTTCTCTCATGTACGTTTTAATCTCAGCAGCACTGATGGCACGATGTTTCAATAGTTCTTTACGGTGTTGGAAATAGCAGAAAATCAAGGTGTCAATGTCCTGAGAAAAAATGGCAAATTTCGCAACAAATGCCTTCCATGTTTCAAAAAGACCCATAACAGTTTGGCCTGCGCCCTGCAGGTCAAGGTTGAGTTTGTTTAGATGCGCGGTGATGTCAGAAACATTAGTTGCATGAGCATCCGGTGCAGGGATGTTTAGATGCGCGGTGATGTCAGAAACATTAGTGGCATGAGCCACTTGTCAACATCCGGTGCAGGGTAGTTTTGATCTTTTTCTGACAAAAAGATCTCGATTGCATCAAGGCAGTCCACAAAGCGTGTCAAAACCTTCCCACGACTTACCCGATGAACATTGCTGTGAGGCAGAATGTCCTCGTATTCACTGTCCATCTCCTCAAGCAGAGCTTGAAACTGCTGATGTGCCAAGACAGATTGAGCAACATGAAAATTCACGATCTTCACCACTGTAGTCGTCACATTATTAAGCTCAGAGTTAGAAATCTTGGCACAAAGATTTTCTTGAATAATAATACAATGAAAATTTACCGTCAGGTGGCCAGTTTGATCCTCAATAATCTTTACAAATCCCTTCCGTTTTCCGACCATAGCAGGGGCACTATCAGTTGTCACAGAAAATATTAATGTCAATAATTCCTCTTTCCTCAAAATGATTAATAAACATCTTTGCCATATCTTCCCCTGTTGTTGTGCCATGCATGGCTTTTAGGCAGCATAGCTTTTCTTGAACTTTTGAGTCATAGTATCTCACATGCACTGATAACCACAGTTAGTCATTTATATCCACGCATTTACCAAGCATGACACTAAATACCTCTGCATCTTTTAATGTCGCTGTTTGTTGTTTGTTAATGTTTTCTGCCATTTCATCTATGCGCCTCGGCACTGACCTGGCAGACACAGGCAAATCTTTTATTCTGGAGATGATAGTGTCTTTACTGGCCAACCTGTTGAACAAAACATCCAAACAACTGAGAAAAGCCTCTTATATATTCTCTGTCTGTAAATGGCTTTCCATGTTTTGCAGCACAATATGTGATTTTGTAACTTCCCTCTGTGGCTTAGAACATAAGAACAACCATAATGGGTCAGACCAACTGTCCATCTAGCCAATACCAGATGCCTCAGAGGGAGGGAACGCTACAGGTAATCCTGATGTGATCGATCCCTTGTCACCCACCTCCAGAGAAACAGAGGCTAGGGACATCATTCCGACCCATCCTGGCTAATAGCCATTGCTGGACCTATCCTCCATGAATCTATCTAGCTCTTTTTGAACCCTGTTAAAGTCCTAGCCTTCACCACATCCTCTGGCAAGGAGTTCCACAGGTTGACTGTGCACTGAATGGCGAGAACCTTCCTTTTGTGTTTTTAAACTTGCTGCTTATTGATTTCATTTGGTGACCCCTAGTTCTTATCTTGTGGGGATAAGTAAATAACTTTTCCTTAATCATTTTTTCCATACCAGTCATGATTTTATACACCTCTATCCTCTCCTCTCCTTAGTCTTTTCTTTTCTAAGCTGAAAGGTCCAAGTCGTCTTAATCTTTCTTCATATGAGACCTGTTCCAAACCCCTAATAATTTTTGTTGCCCTTTTCTGAACCTTTTCCAATGCCAATATATCTCTTTTGAGATGAGGCAACCATATCTGTACGCAG